TAAGGGGCACTTCCGTCCCGTGGCGTGCTCGCCGCTGAGCAACGCGGCGGGCACAGAGGCCAGCCTGCACCAGCCTTCCGCCCGCCGGCCAGCCCCTGCCCCATCCAGCGCTGAAGGCCTGACCACCTGCTCTCCCACCCCCCCCCGCCCCCCCCCCCCCCCCCCCCCCGGCATCCCCGGCCATCCCGCCTCCCACGCGACGTTCGCTCCACAAAAAACTTCCACATCCCTCGCCGCCCTCCAGCGCACACTTCGAATAAAATCCATCAAAAGATTCTCGCCGATATGTTATCTTCCTGGTGAAGATGCATGAGGTGCCCTCTGTTCCCGTTCTGCGTTTTCCAGGCGTGTTTTGCATTTCCTGTTTCCCGCTAGTCTGAGATGTTGTTGATGTACAACTGTGATAATAATATGGGTATCTGTACTTTTTTTGTAGTCATTCGTATGGTGGATTGCTATAATATTAGCAATAAATTTTTCCGAAAGGATTTCATGATTTTTACTAATACCCTATTTTCTTTCCTTCCTATCCAAAAAGAACCCTCAAAAGGAAGGACTTTCGAGCGTTATCCATTGAAATAACTAACCACCATTATAAAAGACGGTAGCAATGGAAACAAATTTTCCAGCTCGTAGAAATATATGGGGCGCTCGAAATCTAAGCCAAGGAAATCCTACCCATTTCCTTCCGGCCAATATGCGAACACATATCTTCCTTTAGAGAGTTCTAAAGTATTTTGTTCTGTATCGACAGCTCCGGGCTCGATATCGATTCCAGGCGAAAATCTCTCGCCATATTTCTCCATTTCACAAAGCCGCCCTCCCCGCTTTCCCGTTCACACGTGCTACGCGACACGCCCCCCGTGAGACGTCTGTGGGAGTTCTGCGAGCGAAGTTATAGTGTCAAGACGGCGGACGCCTCTACTCCGCAGCCTTTCATCGCTCTTGTGAAAATACCATCACGTGCTGGGACAACCCTCATCATTTACGGACATTTTTCCTTTCCTTATGTTTCTTTTCAGATACGTTTTGTTCTTTAATTTATCTGTCTATATTCACCATCTCTTAATTTCATACACACGCATAGAACAATTACGCACAGTCATGTTCTGCTTTTAGTAAAGTTTCACTATCAAATAATGTTCAGTTGTCTGAAATTAAGTCCCTCTCTTTTATTTCTTTCTGCGTTCTATATTTTTTGGCTCCTTTTTTAATTATAGTATTTTTTTTATTTTCGTCGTGATTTTAAAACTTCCTCCTCGTGCCATTATTTTCGCATTTAATTTTCCCTTTGTCTTGTTTACATCTCTCTCGCCTACTTTGAGCCACTAATATCATCACTCATTATTATCCAGTTAATTCTTATCTGCCTTTCACTCGCTTTACTGTAATGACACGAGACACTTACCTCAAACATTCGCATAAAACGAGAATCACGTTGCAGAAATGCTAGTTGTCTCACGCGACTGGTCCTCAACTGCCTTCTCTTCCATTTTGCAGGCACCTCCTCCGTCAATTCCCCTCCTAATGCTTCGCGATCGTAACCATCATTTACTACTTTCATTATGTAAATTCCCTCTCTTTATCTACACAGTTCGTATTAACTTTGCGACCCCATACAAGCGGTACTTTTGGTTCCTAAACGCCCATCGTGTGTGAATGTGAGTTATCTACTCGCGACTAGTGAGGATCGCATTAC